ATATGTAAGAAAAGAGGAGCTAGATTCTTCAGTGCTTCAACATGAACAGCAGCCACCAGAACATTTACCAACTGGACAGGACCAGAAGGACCTCTGCAGCAGTCAGGAGGGAGAGCAGCTTGTCCAGAAGCAGTTTGTTGCTTTGATTGAGACTTCTACTCTTCAGGAAGATGATATGAGTGAAGAAGAGACAAGAACAGAGCAGCTTTCCCTTCATATCTCTCCAGTGGTTGAGAGCAAAGATCAGGAAGGAAGCAGCTCCTCTGTGTCAGAGAGTCAGTCTGATACCGGCACAAAGAAAAGACCTTTCAAATGTGACATTTGTGGGAGACGTTACACGCAACACTGTAACTTGAAAAACCATTACAGAACCCACACTGGTGAGGGACTTTTTTCATGTGAAACATGTGGAAAAAGTTTCTCTGTAATTAGAAATTTAAATCGTCACAAGAGAATTCATACAGGTGAGAAACCTTTTTCATGTCAGATTTGTGGAAAGAGTTTCTCTCAAAGTAGTACTTTAAATGTCCACAAGAGAATCCATACAGGTGAGAAACCTTTTTCCTGCCAGATATGTGGAAAGAGTTTCTGTCAAGTTAGTATTTTAAATCGTCATAAGACAATTCATACAGGTGAGAAACCTTTTTCATGCCAGATATGTGGAAAGAGTTTCTCTCGAATTGGTGATTTAAAAGAGCACAAGAGAATTCATACACGTGAGAGACCTTTCTCATGCCAGTCATGCGGAAAGCTTTTCTCTCGAATTAGGTATTTAAATCGTCACAAGACAATTCATACAGGTGAGAAGCTTTTTTCATGCCAGTTGTGTGAGAAAAGCTTCTATCGAAGGGATAATTTGATCATTCACATGAAAACCCATACAGGTCAGGGGCCACTTTGAAGCCCAACCTGTGAAAAAATCCATCCATCCATTTTCTTATCTGGGGTCCGTGCCCAGAAACTCTGTCTTGGATTATTTCACTTTGCATAACATTAGACCCTCACCTATTTTTGGTTGTTCATTTATGAATTTTTTATTATCAAAGCCTTTCAACTGGTTTGGAAGTGTATATATTGAAGCTCTATGCTACTTGACATGCTACTGGCTGACTTTTGCAAAGTAGCCAATCAGGACGCTTTCAGCATCCTCCTCAGATTTCCACGATGGACATCTGGAAGACAAATGTTTGTCATGAGTAACACCAACTTTTCATGCTTTGTTGTTGAATTTCATGTATAAATTTATGTGCTGCTTGGATGTATCAAACACCTTAATAAAAGCTCTGACAAATACAACATTAAGCGATATTAGATATAGATATTTTACCTCTTGGAATAATTGTTTATCTGCTTTGTGATGTGTTTTTTTCTTTACTTAATGATGTGTGTATTTTATTTTTTAAAATATCACAGACTACTTTTTGTCTAGAAATAAAGACTTGTGAATAATACGAAGTTGTATTTTAGTTAAAACACATCTGGTTAAATTAGACAAATTATTCAATATCAGGCATTAAGATAATGTACCGGAGCATTTAAAACCACATCAACAGCAGCAATACAAGGAGAAATGAGAGAAATGCCGTTAGATTTAAGAAGCCAAAACTAGAAATGAATTATTGGTTAAATTTACAAGGCAATAACTTTAATCATCCAACTTGGGAAATTTTAAATCCATGTTGGGGAAAAAGAAAAGAAAGAAATTAGGAGTTTTGGATGGATAATTGAAAAGAAAAGAAAATAATTTCAATTGAATAGTTTAAAAATTAGTTGAACATCAATATCAATTACACAACCACCATGGTTTCTACCAGAAGAAATAGTAGATATGTCAATAATGGAAAAGAAACAAGATAAATGTTACACCATAGATAATTATTCAGTACAATTACATTTAAACAATTATCAATATATTCAAATCTATACAGATGCATAAAAAATAACAGAAAAATGGGAATAGCTTTTGTAGAACCAGAATTCAATACAAAAATAGGAAAACGAATTACAAATGGATTATCAGTATACACAGGAGAAATGTTGGCAATATTATTAGCTTTACAGTGGATAGAAGACATAAAACCATTAAAAACAATATGTTCAGATTCAAGCTCTGCATTATTAAGTTTAACATGTAATCTAGATAGTAAGACGGACATTTTTTTTAGAAATATTTCATACATTATTCAGAATACAAAATACGGGTTTGATAGTTCTATTTGTGTGGATTCCAGCACATATTGGAGTAGAAGGAAATGAAAGGGCAGATAAAAAGCCAATTCAAAATCCTACTAGTTTTAAAAAAGTAAATATGAGGGAGATTGTATTGTTAAAAACTGATGAACGAATGGCAAAATGGTGGGATGAAGAAAAAACATAGTAGGAGAAAGAAGAAATGGAAAAGAAGAAAGAGTGACAAAGTTGAAATTTGGACACTTGAAAATTTGAAAGCACAATACTTGCAAATGTGATCACTGTGGAAATTATGAAGCAACAGAGCATGTTATACTAGAATGTTATAAATATGAAAAAGAAAAGATATATGAGGAGAGAGTTTGAAAGTATTAAGTATAAGATTAATTTCTTAGATATTTTAAGGAAGAATTTGGGACGTAAACACATACAAATAGTTATTCAATTTTTGAAGAAAACAAAATTATGTCATAGAATTTGATTATATCT